GAGTTTGTTGGCATCAGTGACTGACAACCCATCTCCGCCGCGCCTGTGGCTCATCAGTCATCACGCACCTACCACTCGCACCGTACCGCCGCAGGTCTGTAGCGGCAGTGCGTGCTCTTTTCTTAAGAGTCGTCGAAAATCGCAGTGGTCTTCTAACTTGTTATCAATATCAACATGTTGTTTATCACTCCCTCCGTCTTTAAACAGCAATAGAAGTCACGCTTTCTAAAGAGTTAAACAATCTTAAGATTGACTACGCACATAAAAAATACTATCTATTTTTAGATCTTCAATTAGTTTTATTATAAAATATATTTTATGATTAATTTAGTGATACTTATCATATATCGTCAATAGTAATACTTTATTTTATATATTTGGTCAAAATTCATATAGACTTCCATTTTCTTTGGGACAAATAGAGGATTGAAAAAAATATCAGTACTAACCTTTGGAATAAATTTAGGAAACAAGGAGCACCCATGTTAAGTTAATTCCACCCTATCTATCTAGCTCATCTAGTGCAATACCGAGGGCTGTTAATGATTGGCTCCTTTGCACCAAACATGTCCATCTAATAGCCTAGCTAATTATTATCTCAATACCCAACTAACAACTATCTCACTAGTTGAGTCAAACCAGCTAAGAAAAGCTAATAAAGCTAATAGTTAGCTAGCTAATGTTAGCTTTGTGCTATTAGCTAGCTAAGTATTAGTAGCTAATAGATCCAAACATTGTCTAAAAACATGTTTGAATCCACTAGTGAAATAGTTAAGGTGCTAAAATTGGTACTAGTGAATCTAGACGGACATGCTAATGCACCGGCGTACCCGGTGCAGAGAGCTCTCGCTCTGTGCGGGGTCTAGGGAAGGGTGTCAGCGGCAAGCCTTAGCCTCGCCTGTGCAATGCGGAGAGACCACGACTCGAACCCGGTGTAAGGTCGAGATGGCGGACTAGAGGGGGGGTGAATAGTCTTTTCTAAAATTAATCGCGTCGGCTAACCGATATAAATGCGGAATTAAAACAATCGGTTTAGCCAAGACTACACCCCTCTATGTATGTTCACTAGCACCTTGCAAAGATACTAATAAAGCAACTAAGGTGCCGAGCTAGCTAGAGCTCTCCTAAACAATTCTAGGAGCAAGGTCACACAAACCTATGCCACTAGTACTTTAAGTAACAAAGGAGCTCCTACACATGCTAGTAAGCAAAAGCACAAAGCTAACTAAGCTCACTAGCAATGCTCAATAACAAGGCAACCAACGCCTAATTAGAGAGCGCAAATACTTAGCTACACAAACTAAGCAATGTGACTAACAAGGTTACTAAAACCAAATTAGCCATACAAGGGAGCTACTTCTATGCTACACAAGCAAGAAGGTAATTAGCTAGCTACACAAGCTATCTAATTACAAGAGCAACTACACAAGCTTAAGATATATATATAAGTAATTGCAAGCTTGTGTAATGGGGATGCAAACCAACGGGAAGAACAAGGTTGACACGATGATTTTTCTCCCGAGGTTCACGTGTTTGCCAACACGTTAGTCCCCGTTGTGTCGACCGCTCACTTGGTGGTTCGGCGGCTAATTAGCATCACCCGCTAAGCCCGCACGTCGGGCGCCGCAAGAATCTACCCCTTGAGTGAGGGTAGCTCAATGACACGCTTTACTAGAGTTGCTCTTCGCGGCTCCCGCGGGGCGAGCACAATGCCCCTCACAAGCACTTCTCCGAGAGCCGCACAACCTTCTTAAGGCTCCGGACGGAGACCACCACCAAGCCGTCTAGGAGGTGGCAACCTCCAAGAGTAGTAACAAGCACCACCGGCTCGCAACTCGATCACCTAGTGCCACTCGATGCAACCTCACCATGCAATCGCACTAGAATCGCTCACTCACACAATCGGATGATCGCTATCAAGTATGTATGTGATGGAGGGCTCCCAAGCACTCACAAGCATGGACACTAAGTCCCTTGAGGTGCTCAAGACACCATGGCCGAGGGCCACTTCTATTTATAGTCCCAAGGGTTAAACTAGCCGTTACCCCTTCACTGGGCAACGGTCGGGCCGACCGGACGCTCCGGTCGTGTTGACCGGACGCTAGACCTCAGTGTCCGGTCGCCCGTAGACGGCCATGTGTCCCGGTTCCAACGGTCACTTGACTTGATCGGACGCAGCAGCTTTCAACTGACCGGACGCTGAACCCCCAGCGTCCGGTTGTTTCCGATAGAAGTACCGACCTCGGCCGGACGCGTCCGGTCACATTTGATCGGACGCGCGGCCGTCGTCCCGGTCACACTCTAGCTTCTACGTCATCGACGTCGGCTGACCGACCGGACACACACTGCCGGCGTCCGGTGCATTTCAGATCCGGCGTCCGGTCGGTTGATCGACGCCAAAGATCTTCGCGACTAACTCGTTTTCACTTCTAACTTCATCACCCTTGCTCCAATGTGCTAACCACAAGAACTTGCATCCGCGCGCAATAGAAAATAGGCATTCTATTTTCCGAGGCGCCGAATCGAAAGCTTCGGCGGGAATCCACCAAACCCATCTAAACCGCAAACATCACCTCCTTTGTAAATGTGCCAACACCACCAAATGTACACCACCATGTGTATGTGTGTTAGCATTTTCACAATCATTTCCCAAAGGATGTTAGCCACTCAACTTGCCATGTCACTCGATCCTAGCAACAATGCAAAGTTAGATCACTCGAGTGGCACTAGATGACCGATATGCAAACAAGTTTGCCCCTCTTGATAGTACGGCCATCTATCCTAAACCCGGTCATAAACTTGTCTACACACCTATGACCGGTGAAATGAAATGCCCTAGGTTATACCTTTGCCTTGCGCATTCCATTCCATCTCCTCCAATATCGATGCAACACATGCACCAACACGATCAACAATGATATGATCCACTTCATATCATCACGTGTTCATATTGGTTCATCGATCTTGACTTCACTTGCCCTTCACCGTTGCCATCGTCCATCGGCGCCAAGTCTTGCTCAAGCTTCACCGCCACGCGGTCCATCACTCCAAAGCCTTCGACTTGCCCTTCACACTTGCAACCGGTCCATCAAGTCAAGTCTTGTCTTGATCTTCTCCACCTTGATCACATGACTCAATGTCATGTCTCATGTGCGTTAAGCTCCTTCATCATCACATGTGTGAGCTTTGCAACATCTCCAAGCCATTTTCACCTCCATGGCATATGTTGCCCATACACATGTACCTGTGGACTAATCACCTATGTATCTCACATAAACACAATTAGTCCACCTAGGTTGTCACTCAATTACCAAAACCAACAAGGACCTTTCACCCGGGACCTTCCGGTCACATACAGTAAGACTCTACCGCTTGTACCAGGCCCGCCCTTCAGATACATGGCAAAATTGATGTATCAAAAGCGTCAAAGCGACGTATAATTTAAAACGGGGAGAGAGTATTAATTAGTGGTATGCTACCTATTAGTTTCACTAGCATGTTTGGAGTTACTAATAGTAGCCGCTAATAGGTGTAAAGCATGTATTAGCAACATATTAGTAGGTGAATTCAAACATACCCTTACTAATAATTAGCTAGCTAAATATTAGCTACCAGTGATTCAAACAGACTCATGCTAATAATTAACTAGCTAACTATTAGTACTAGTACATTCAAACATACACATGCTAATAATAAAGCCAATGCATCAAGTTTAGACAACAAGAAATACAGCACAATTTTTCAGTTTTCTTGGAATACTGCTATAACCTTCGATGCATCGTTTCTATATAATATATAAAGGACGTATCGTTTGTTGGGACGTCACAGAGAGCACCTAATCTGCATCGTTTTCGCGCAAACCTTTCTTATGACCCGTTCGTTTTTCGTGAGGCAGCGATGGAGAAGCATCGACCGAAAGCTCAGATCGTCACACAGAGCTCGCGCTCACCGTTGCTCATGGCAGGCTGTGGGCGCTGCCCTTTCCGTTTGGGCATCTTTTCTCGTGGTGGGTTCAATTTGAAATGTGCAAAGCAGTGGTCAGGATCAGGGAAGTTCCTTTCTTCAGCACAAGGAAAAATCATGAAGGCTAGCTGCAAAAGAGAAAGTGTACTGCAACATCTTCAGTAAGGACATGTGGGCAAGCTGTTTACATGTAGCACATTTTAAGATCGGATCGTAATCTTTCTCTAAGTTGCGGATCCATCTTAGCTTGAGGAGTCAGAACTCTCCTTAAAAACAATCTTATCTTTCCTTGGAGTTTTTCCCGATGTTTTCCCCTCTTTTAATTTCTGAACTTGAGGAAAGAACAATACATCACTCCTATATGATTATGCTCATGCATGATTCAAACTGATCAGAAGTTGGCTGCTGCCAGTGGGAGCATGTGGCTGATCTAAAATTAGCGCTGGAAAGACGACCATCGTGAAAAAAGGAATCTGGCTTTGATCGGAGAAAACGCTTTCTGGTGGTGGCACTCATTCTGGAGCGCTTACTGGTGAGGCTACCTAGCTAGCTCAACATAATTCTGGACCAATTCCTCTTGCCAATAATTGGTCTTCTTAATCCTGTTTGTAGGTTCACTTGCATGCATATTTAAACTGCCGTTCGTTGGAGCAGATTCATCCGAGCACCGTGTCATGTCAAATAAGAAAAGCAGAAACTGAATTCCAGTCTTTCAGACCTCACCAATGATCTCAGAAGTACATGTGAAAAGTCTACTCATTCATAGTGGCTCAAGAAATCACCAGTTCCTTGCAACCCACCTAGTATGTGATATATACTCCAACAAGGCAAATTGATAATGAAATAGTACTACGGTGTTCCCGGTTCAACAAACACTCCATGGCATGACAAAATTTTTCTATCAGATCTAGTGGTTCTAAAAGTTTTAATATTCCCCCCTACCTCATCTCACTGCGCCAATTCTTCTGCTAACTACCCTCAACATAATTCTAGCACCAACAAGGAGAGATATTTACAATCTGCGGCATGCATCTAATTTAGGACAACATCTTGCGGTCCAGTCTCGATCCAGCGGCGGAGGTCTTCTCCTGGAGCACGCGCACGACGTCGGCCATGGATGGCCGGAGCCCGGGGCTGTCACTGACGCACTGCATGGCGAGATCCGCCACGGCGGCCGCCTCAGCGACGTCGTAGTCTCCTCCCAACCTCTGGTCCAGAACGTCCGACACTTGGCCGTCGCCGAGCTTAGGCCTCACCGCGGCCGTGAGGCGGTGCCCTGTCTCGCGGCAGACGGCCTCCTTGCCCGTCAAGAGCTCGAGCAGCAGCACGCCGAAGCTGTACACGTCGCTCTTCCTGGTGGCCACTCCGGAGCGGAGGAGGTGGGGGTCGACGTAGCCCGGGGAGCCCATGACGGCGCGATCCGAAGGCCGGCCGCCCATGGTGGCCGAGACGCCGACGTGCGCGAAGCCGAAGTCGCAGAGCTTGGCGTCCATGCTGGCGTCGAGGAGGACGTTGGAGGCCTTGATGTCGCCGTGGATGACGGCCGGGTCACGGCCCTCGTGGAGGTACTCCAGCGCCGAGGCCACCTGGAACGCGACCGCCACGCGGCGCGCCCAGGGGAGGACGCCGCCCGCGCCGCCGTGAAGCGCCTCGTGGAGGTCGCCGTTGGGCGCGTACTCGAACACCAGCACGCCCTCGTCCCGCTCGTCGCAGTAGCCGAGGAGGCGGACGATGTGCGGGTGGCGGAGGGAGAGGAGCACGTCCAGCTCCCGGCGGAACGCGCGGTGGAGGCGCTCGCTGCTGCAGTGGACCTTGACGGCGCCGAGCCGCGAGGAGGAGGAGGAGAGCGAGGCGAGGTACACGGTGCTGAACCCGCCGCGGCCGACCACCTTGGACGAGAACCCGCCCGTGGCGGTCTCCACCTCCGCCCACGCCAGCTGCCGCGCGGGCGCGGCGCCGCTGTCCTCTGCCTCGGCCTCGTCCACGCACACCGGCTCCGGCTCGGCCGGCGCCACCCGCGAGCTCGCGCCGCCTAGCTCCCCGCGCTTCCTGAGGTCGCCGCGGCCCCGGCGGGCGCACGCGAACAGGCCGCAACCCCTGAACATTTCGAGCTCTGGGAGGAGTGTCCGCGACTGGTAGAGAACAAGTCCTCCTCTGCTCGGCGTGCTCGCTCCTTTAATTTAATCGCTCTGTTGCTGGTGAGTGACGATGCGTTCTTCTTGGCTGTGCCTTCCTGGATAAGCTGGGGACAGGGTGGACAGAGGAGGCTGCAGATGGAAGAAGAGCGGCGAATCACGAAATGCTGGCTCCGTGCATGCTCCGAGTCAAATGCACTGCCAGTGCATATATGTATGGCGCTCGGCGGCTCGGCGGCTCGGCGCTTGTTGGCCTCTCTGGTTGCTCTCTTTCCGTGCAGGAGTATATCTGATGTAACCCGGTGCACCACACACCTAATGACTAATCATTGTGCGAAAAGAAAAGCAGCGAGAGGGATGGCTCAGGACGTCATCGATGGAGACCAAGCATTCTCCGTGTTTGTAATTTTATATATGCATTTTGATTTCTATGACGCGTGCGTCGGTCACCAGACCGCTCTTGGGATGATTATTAAACGACGATCATTCTAAAATCGTGCTCTTGTTAGAATGTTTGGGAAGTGCAACTTGTTTCTGTTTTGTTTGTTTTCTCGTTGTGAAGGGGGCTGCAGTAGCTCAGCTCCTACCTCTACCGGACTACGCGTAGAACCGAGCTAGCCCTCTTTGAAATAACGAACCTGAACCATTCTTTTTTACTTTTATTACAAGAAACAAAGTTCCGGCCTCTGTCATATAGGAATGGTATATAGCTGAAGGACTTTTTTTTCATACTCTAGTGTTATCCCCATTGTAAAATTGGGGCGAGAGTGTTGCCTTTTGGCGTCATATATAGTTGTGTGTTAATGTAGGCAGGAAATAACCTCCCGCGTGATTTACATCTTACTCAATCCATCCCAAATTGTAAGACGTTTGACTTTTTTAACACCAAGTTTAACCACTCGTCTTATTCAAAAATTTGTGTAAAATAGCACTTCTTTCGTCGTGGTTTGGTTTATTAATAAAAATTCTTCAAGAATGACTTAAATTTGACTATATTTGCACAAATTTTTTAAATAAAACGAGTAGTCAAACTTGGGGCAAAAAAAAGTCAAACGTCTTACAATTTGGGATGGATGAAGTATATTACAAATCATCATGATCAACCTTGATTAAAGGATCAATGTTTCCTAACCATGAGATATGTTGTGTCTTAGCGATATCTCAACATTCATGCATAGAGGGGTGCCGAACAACAGAATGCCTAATGCGGCTTGATGTAGGTGAGGTGGTGGTAATGACCATAAAGGATCAAGATACGGTATTGATTGCAGAAGATAGAGGAGGAAATGAACGTGGACGAATGGGGCGTCGTAGTAGATAGAGGGGGAGGAGAAAGATGTGGGTGTCTGGCACCTACATCACTGGAGATAAAACGAAGAGGGAAAGGGGAAAGTGAGGTAACCTACTGGCGTGGTAGTTGAGACAGAGAGGAAATTAAAGTATGTCTCCATTTGCTAGAGATAGATAACATTAGCTGGAAAAAAGTGGTAGCCATAGAATATTGCATAATTGCCAATATTGTTCCTCTCCACAGTATGGAAATTCATATAGAGTATTTGCAAGGCTTGTGCTGTTTTGCGTCTCATTAGTTCAAAGTGTGTCCATCATACATCTAGCTCTAAGCTCACTTGCATCTCGCTCCCTAATAAAAAGCTCATGAATAGCATATTTCCTGGTCTAGTTCTCTTTAACTCCTACGTTCTTCTATAAACCCTACATCTTTATGATCTACTCCACCCATTCCAAATTATAAGATATTTTGGCTTTTCTTGGTAGGTGTGGTGGTGGTGGTGATCATTTATGGATCAAGATACAATATTGATCACATAAGATAGAGGAGGAAATAGAGATGCATGAATGCGTCGACTACGTCATAGGAGTTGAGGGGAAGGAGAAAGACGTGGATGTGTGGCAGCTACATCATAAGATATAAAAACGAAGAGGGTGGTAGATAGCATTAGGGCCATGTTTAGTTCCCTCAAAATCCAGAATTTGGCACTATGCAAAAAGAAGATTCCCCATCACATCAAACTTGCGGTACATGCATGGAGTACTAAATGTTGACGAAATCAAAAACTAATTGCACAGTTTGGTTGTACTTTACGAGACGAACATTTTGAGCCTAATTAGTCAACGATTGGACAATTATTACCAAATAAAAACAAAACGATACAGTAGCTACAGTGTACCGACTGAATTCGGCGGCGCCGATTCAGTGGCCATCTAAACACGGCCTAGGTGGAAAAAAATTGTAGCCATAGAAACTTGCATAATTGTTAGTATTGTCCCTCTCCACATGACGATGGAAATTCATCTAGAGTATTTATTTCACGGCTAGTGCTCTTTTGTGTCTCATTATAGTTCAAGTATGTCCGTCATTCCATCTAGCTCTAAGAGACTAAGCTCATTTGCATCTCGCTTACTGAAAACCCCATGGTTAGCATATTTCCTTTTTTTTTGATAAAACAGGAGGGGCTGGAGCCCCTACTGAAATTTTATTAAAATTATTAAAACTGATCCCACAAAACAAGTGTTCAAGAAACAAAAAAAAGTACAGAAAAAATAAACAAGATTACACAAAGGCTTCTAGCCATGAGTCTGTAGAAGGGTGAAACTTGACTTTTGCTCTCAGAATAACTAGAGCAAACTCCTTGAAGACTTGCTTGCAGCGATGCGCCGAGAGAGAGTGATTGTTGAAGATTGCATCATTACGCATAGTCCAAATTGCCTAACACATTGTGACAATTATCTCCATGAAGAAGGGGAGCTGAAGCTGAGATTTGAAGCTCAAGAGGATGGACTTCCACTTATGTGGTGTTAGGGACCACCAAGTTAAGCGTGTACCAGCAATTGATAGTAAACGGGCAATGAAAGAGAAGGTGAAAGAGATCTTCCTCCAGGCCCAAACTGGTCCAGCTCTCCTCTACTCCTACCTTCTTTTGTAAACCCATACGTTTACAATCTACCTACGACAACCGGCTATTTCACCCTATTCGCTTATGCTGAAATTTATCTTATATTGATACTTATATTGAAAAATTATGAGAGAAAAATATTGTTCCATAATTAAAAAATAGCTCAAGCGAGCAGGGTGATTATATTTGAGTTACAAACGCCACCTTGAATCGTACGTACCCCATTCACGCGCCTTCAAAACGAAGCGTGCAACACAAGCGAAAGGCGAGCTGTCCACAGGCCACAGTGAGACTCCTCCGGCCCCGGTCGGTCGGACTCGGACCCCAGCCTCCTACAACTACAGCTACAGGGCAGCAATACATAAAGCAGAGAGTAATTAGCGGGCCGTGCACTAGTACCGTCCAGGACAGCACGTACAGTCCGTGGCTTGCTGCGTGCTCCTCCGTTCGCCCACACCGTGCTCGTGCGTCACCCCGCGCCAGCAGGCGGCACGCCGTCGCGCTCGTGCAATGTGCAGGTGCAGCACAGGAGGGACCATGGGAACCATGCGATCCACAAGGTCAGCAGCAGCAGAGCCCACGGCCGCCCACCACACGGACGCCAACACGCCACGGCCGCCCACCACACGGACGCCAACACGTTGATCGAGCACTGCACTGCACCTGCCCCCGCGCCCGCACGCCGCCCCATGCTGTTGGTTCCCATGAGGCCTGGGGGCAGCTCGCGACGCGACGCGCCACCCGTGCGCGCACCGAATCTAACCTGCGCGGTGCGGCTCACTGGGGATCGGTGGGGGCCCTATCCGTCGCGAACGAGGCGGTTTCTCCTCTCAAGTTTGACGTCCTATCAAGTATTTCACATACAGTATTAAATATACACTAAAATATAATTAATTATATAATTTATGATTAATTTATAAGACAAATCTTTTAAACCCTAATTAGTGTATGATTTGATAATGTGGTGCTATAGTGACACATGTGCTAATGACATGATTAATTAAACTTAATAAATTCGTCTCACGGATTGACTGACGAATTCTGTAATTTATTTTTTTATTAGCATACGAACAACTCATACAACACTCTCATATAACACTTGATATTAACATCCGAAACTTTACACGCTAGATTTAAATAAAAGCTGAATATAGTAGCGATGATCAGGTAGGTGAGGAGACCGGCAGCACCGACGACGCGTGCGGGGTGTGGCACCGGCGCCTAGCCGTTTCCGTCCAACCCAAGCCCAGCCGCTGCCCATACTTGGCGACGCAGTAGGCGTCGACGGCGTGGCCGCTCCGGTCGCAGGCGTGGCCATTCGACGAGCCACTGGAGATCGCCGTCATGGACATCGCCTCGCCGGAGCGGCACGAGGTGCTGGGCGAGCTCACGTTCCGTAACGGAAGCATCAAGGTGCAGTGCAGCAGTTCGACGAAGAAGAAGTTCAAGCCGCCGGCGCCGTCATGGTACGACCTCAAACAGCTGCCGCGTTCTTCCGACGGCGATGTCTGGGACAGAGAACGACAGCACGAGTTCAGGAGCAAGATACAGCTGCGCGTCTACTACGATGCGGCGTCGTACGCCAGCGACTTGCAGCCATCGGCGCTGCCGCTCCGGTCGCAGGCCATCGGTGTCCTCGAGCAACCGGCCTCCGGTCAACGAAGCGCCCCAATGGCGGGCGAGGGACCGTCGACGCCTACTGCATCGCCATGGGCAGCAGCTGGGCTTGCGTTGGACACAGGGCCAGGTCCAGTCCAGATCCAAAACAAAATTAATTTTAATTAATTATCTTGGTGTTTTAAGATCCGTGTAACTTTTTTAAAGAGGACCATGCAAGCAAAACTCTCTAACTAATTGTTAGTTGTTAACAGCCTCAGCAAATTCCTGGTGTCACTTCTCTTGTAAGTTGGTTTTAGGATTGGGTACTTAGTTACAATCTTTGAGATTTGACATACTAGTGTCCATCAACATGTGCTCTTGCACATGCCAGAATATTAGAAGACAAATATTGGAAGTAAATACATAATAACTATAACTAATAAAAACACTTATCTTTATTCGCACTCTCTCTTTCTCTCTCATTGTTCATTTTCTAACAATAATACACATATTGATACTCAACCTATATCCAGTTGTGATGAATTTACGAATTACTAAATTTTTTATTCATATTCATAGTTTTTTTTGTTCTTTCTCTGCGTGGAACCTCCATATGCTTTGCATTTAATTGAAACCTTATCATAAACTGTGTCTTTTGTTGCATGAATCTATATTTTAATAATGAAAATTTGATCTTATTAATTTATTGTTTTTATCTCCTCAATTTAAATTTGAACTATTATGTTCTATTTCTATTTTATTAAAAGTCAGGATTTTAGCCAACGATGCATCTTAATTTAGTGTAATAATCATTGCTTACACCCAATGAATTTCAAAGACCAGAGAGGTCATAGCCATCTTTGATATGCACTAATCTTCTTCACTGTTGAAGATGTTAAATTATATGCGCGGTGGTGTTCTTTTAATATAAAAAGAGTGCTTACAAACCTATTCTTTGAGAAGTCACAAAAAAAACCTATTCTTTGAGCTGTTTTTCTGTGTGTTCGGCAAAATCTGGTTTATTATCTTATTATTTTCACTCAGATTACTTTGTGACTGTCATTCATGTGCCCAAACCGCAGCTGTCAATATGAAGATGATTCGTGTGATGTGCTGAATAAATTGATAAAAAGTAATCATATTGCATTGCAAGAAGTTACTCTAGTAGAATGAAAAAAAGGGGGGAAAAGTGATATTTTGGGCCACAATTTCGGTCCAAAACCTGGATGGGCCAAATGAATCCTGTGGACACTCCGAACGATCCTTCCCTGATCCTTCTGATTTTTCCCTCTGGCCCAACAGAAGTCTTCAGTTGAGGCTGACAACAGGCCTTAAAAGGCCTGGTCATATACGACTTCTTCGATTTGGTTAATGGCCTAACGCCGTATGGGCCCCTAGGCCCATTATCACACTATAGAAAGACTCTGATCATGTTTATCGCAATACTTTTACTCCTACTTGGATTGTGTGGAGAGTGTTCGTGCGAAGCTGTGCGCTCCTACGCGACGGCACAAAACACTGCCGTCATACCACAGCTCGTGATCTACAAACAGCCGCAAAGCGTTGCGCTGCTAATGCTGCACGACAAGATCGAGTGCTTTACAGTTTTTATTACCTGCAAACCCAGCATTCCGAAGCTCCGAACCAGGGAATTTATACATGACCTAAACAGATCCGTTATTGGTTAGTCGTTAGTGGTGTCCAGGTAACCAAGCTTAGCATAGAACACAACTAGTAAAGCCTACAGAGCATGGGGGCAGGGCACGGTAAAGCTAGAACAGGGTGAAAGGAGGAGCATATTGTTGGAAAAGAAGAGGAGAGACAGATGACAGATCCATAGAAAATTGGAAAAGGGCGGAGCAGTCCTGTCAACGTCAGAAGACGCCACTCAGCGACGGATCACTCTGTTGACAGAGGCAGTCGAGTGAGGAGTGACCCCAAGCTCCCAATCGGCGACCCATATATAAAACTCAGTTGCGGATGCACTGACTGACGCTGAAAGCGAGGGAAATCAATTGTTTCCTCGGCACTTCCATGCTGGAGCTGCCGGTTGCCGCCGCTCGGCACTGCCGGGACGCATCATCGACGTCACAGACCGCTCATATCCGACTAAAAAAGAAGAGTAAAGCAGGATGAAAGCGGAAAAGATGCCACCAGAGGGCTTTTGTTTATTGCCCAGCCTATTCCGAGGGGATGCCGCCCCTGGTGATGATGCTGTCATGGCGATGGCAACTCACATTACCAACGGAGGAGCCCAGCTAGGCCCGTTCGCTTCACTGAAAAAATTAACAGACCAAAATATTATTCTAACTGATTTATCGTGAAAGAAAAACACTGTTTCGGCTGAAAAAAATAAACTAAAAAATATGAATTATAAGAAAAACAAACAGGGCCTCGAGTTCGATCCATGGGCACGCACGCACGCATGTGATGGTGACTTTTTTTTTTGGATAAGGGCATGTGATGGTGACTTTGGATCAAAGCATCACTCTCCCTAGCTCAGATGGCAATTGGCAAGCTAAGCTCCGATCATGAGCATTACTTTATCAGGCCAACTCCAAAAGCAGCAGCCAAGGTATCTGCATCTGATGAGATGTGGAATCATTATAAAATTTCCACCTGATAAGCCATGGGCGCATGGTCCTGTCCCCCTGAATCCGAACTGTAAAATGCAAGCAGTTGTGATGTCACTACTTGCAAAACTCTGTATTGTTGTTCTGAGCTCCAAATCTTTCATTAAGATGCTCATCACTGTCTCCAGAAATTCTTGGCGATGAACTTGTAGTCATGTTGAAGGTATTTGGTTTAGCAAATCTATTATCTTATTACACTGTAGTCGTTGCCGGTCCAACTCAGTTCTTCGGAGATGCTCATAGAGGTAGAGGGTGCGTGCGTGCATGCGTTCATAGGGGTGAGTGTGCTCTCGTGTATTTGGTTTAGCAAATCTATTATCTTATTACACTAATAGTCGTTGAAAGGAACACCCACTTCACCAAGAGGGCTTACGAATTAACACATTATATAATAAAAAAAAAGAAAAGAACATACACAGTTGGATTTTATGATGATCTAACAACTTAGATTAAACAAAAAAATGCATACCTAATACAATTAATAAATAATAAATGATAGATGATAAAAATTTGAACAAAACTATGAAAACTAATAGTTTGACTTGCAAGCGAATTGGAAAGAAAAAGAATATTGTTATAGTAACTACATGGATAAGTTCAAATGAAAAATTACAAAAAAATGGCAATTTGATCTCCACATGTTGGGAAAAAACAACCATATAAAAATTAATGTATTACTATAAATACAGTTAAAAAGAGTAACGCCTTTCACTCCATGGGGCTAAAAGCCTAAAACTACCACATTGAACTTATTAGGTATTTTACATCCATAGTGTAATAGTCTAGGAGGTCTATCAAAAGATATACTCCCTACATCCTAAAATACAAGGTATCCATGATTCAAAATTTGTTCTAAATTATTAGGTATTTTAGATTACTCAACTCTATCCATAAGTGCCTATTCCCTCTGTCCTGTAATATAGTGTATTCCAAAAATTTTAAGACAACTTAAGAGAATACTCAAATAATGCATGTACCCATGACGCACTATATTTCAGTACAAGTTTTAGAAGTCGCAATGCACTATATTTTATAAGGACGGAGGGAGTACATTTTAAACCCCATCCATGAATGCTTTTTAAATATCATCTTGCAAAAAAGATCCTATAATTGGTAACCAAAATTAATGGCATGCATCATGTCTTTTAAAACTATGCATTACTATGAAATTAAGCAAGTTGATAACCAAACTAACCATATAGTAATAGACAAGTTAATCTTTTGCTAGACTTTTTATTTGGTCCTAAAGTTTCTTGGACACCTTATATTTCGGAGAAAGTAAGGAAAAATCCAATACAGATAGAACAGGCATGAAAAAAGATAATAGAGTAGAATCTAATCAACATCACAACCGGATGTTATCATGATAATAGAAAAAAAACACAAGGAACATTTCTAAGAGGGGTTACATGTATCCACAAGAATTATGCAAGTCGGACACCGATGTCTAGCATAAAAATACATCGATTCACTTTCGATCTGCACACTTTTTCTTCCCCACTAGTAAAAAAAATTCGGAGACTATCACATTTATTTATTTGTATAGAGACAGGCTAAAAATGTTTTCATTTTCTAAAATACCCCGCAAATTTCAAAGGAGGTTGGCCTATTTATGAGGACAACATAGTAAACAATTATATCTCAAAATCCATTAACAGAGACGAGTCTAAGAGATTTGTCTCTATGTTTTATTTATCATACTGCAAACGAAAAAAATGTCTAGTCTTACAAAGGCCCCATAGTAACATCAAAACTGCAGAGACGGACAGGGAACGAGAAGTTATCCTTCTGGCCTGCCCTCGGGTCCCACGGCATGCTTCTGGGGTGTGTGTAAAAACAGATCAGATATCATCACAACTCATCATAAGCAAGTTGACGCGGGATGGATTAAGCAATCGAATATTAGTTAGCATGTTTGGGGGTGATGCTGGTCCACTCCATTAAACTGAGACTTGCAAGTTACATCTTCCAGGGCCGTATAATGCTGTTCTCATCCGCATGAGAGAGAGAGAGAGAGAGAGAGTCGTGACGTGGCATTATTTTTTGCCAGCCAAGGACGATACTTGCTACATAGTCAGTTTTCGGCTTTTCGCAACAGCAACAACTATTCAGAGGATATGCATGTATATACTCCTATGTCTGTAAGAATTTGAATGCTCTGCTGTCAGGTTGGTACGCAATGCTAATAGCGGTATAGCACTAGCACAGCCGTTTCATGAATCTGATGCTCCAGGCGAAGCAGGATGAGCGGATAAAATGAACCAAACAGAACGGATTTGACTTTTTCCAAGAAAAAAAAGGGGAGCAGGGAATATAGACAGATAAACAAGGGGAAAGCGACGACCACCCCCGGCATAAAAAAAGCTGCCGAGGAAGACCAAGGACGCGATCACGCGAGCGAAACTGGCGACGCGCATCGGCGCATGTGGCCGATCCATCCATGGATGCGGGCGAACTCGGCGACAGCACCGACAGCCGCCCCGCACCGCACGCACAAACAACAGAGCACTCCGGTGACGCCTCATTACGTCTTAACCAACGACAGTAGCGTGCAACTGCAATGCAGAATCTCGTACGTATAGCTGTTGCCTTCCTGGCATAGATCGACGCCGTCTCCGTCGTGCGCACGCGACCTGAGCTAACCACTACCAGCCAGAGCCAGCGAACCGAATTAACCGTCGCCCCCGTTCGGTCTAGGTTACGTTAGCTAGGTTAATTACGGCCCGGAATTGTGGTTGGATGGCCGCCATGCCCGACGGACGTGTGGCCCTGTGGGAGGGCCGGGGCCGGCACGCAGGCAGGCCGGCGTCGTCGCGCGGACGCTGGCGTGCCATGCGGTTTTGTTGGTGCGCGGCGTGCGGGCGAGCGACGGGCGATGGGCGATGGGGGCCGGCGGACCGATGCGTGTTACTCCGGTGGTGGGGACCGTGCGGGGGTAGCTAGCTAGGTAGTGAGGCATGGGTTGTAATGCGCTGTGCGCGTGTGTCCCTCTCGCGCCCCGGCCGCAACGATATGCCTTTGCCTGTGCGTGCGTGATATGCCACTAGTGCCCGACGACAGCGGATCATGGGACGGGAGTGATCATGCCATCTGCATTTTCCCCTTTTCCTAATCCTTGCAAGCTGTACTAAGCCACCATCCATTCCCCTATCTATAACCAACAGAAGCAACCAATCGAATAAATGGAGGGTAGGCATGCAGAAACAATATGCCAAACACAGTCACACATGGCCGTAAAAACTCAACGAACTCATATGATATTTCTGTTAAATTACTGCGCTATAAGGGGTCCTAATAATTGGTGAACGAGGTGCACGGGCGGATGGATTAGATGACGCTATGTGATTTTATGTAGATCAAACTTTGTTAACTTTGACTATATTTATAGAAAATACGTGCAACATTTATGTCTCTAAATAAATTTATTATGAAAATATATTCAACGATATATTTAATAAGAC